ATTGGCAATAGTAAGTTTATTCAGGAGCTCAAATAAGAAGGAAAGAAAAGCTGATAGCTTTAATAATCTGTAGTGAAATTTCTAAAATGAAAAGTACAAAAAAAAAGCATCTAATGCGTTGTAGCAAATGAAAAAAAAAAGAAAAGCTGCAAGAAATGTTGTATTTTCTTTTCCTTTTTCAATGATTAGCTACCTATTCTCTCTGCAATGATTTATCTAAATTTGGAAAAGGAAAAAGAGATTTTAAGCTAATAAGTAAACTGGAAAATTGCCTCTGCATTGAAAACCTAGTTCAGCTAAGAATTAAATCATAGTGGGGTAATTTTCGTTGCTTTTACCACTGTGGAAAAAAAATATGTCTAGTGCATGGAGACAGTTATCAGAGTTTCGACCATTTTAGGAACACTAATACTGAGCATCATAGTAACATGCAGCTACCAATACCTCTACAAAGTACTGGCTGTAAAATAATACAAAAAGAAGACAACTTAGAAATCTGCTGCTTTAAAGATTCATCAGGCTGGTCTTCTGTCTTGGCAGGAAGACAGTCTACAGAGCAGTGCTAATTCTACAGGGATGCACTCCTGCGTACAAGAGATGCATTAGGCGTGCAGGAGAGAACCCTGCTCGGAGAGTGCTAGGCTAAGCATTCTGTCATTAACAGACTTCTCTTTTCCAGAGGCCCACTACTGCTGTGCTTGCCCTGCTCCCGGGTGAAACAGCATATGAATCACCTTGAATCCGAGCAGTAGAGAAAAATGGCAGATTACGTTAAGAAACTTTGCAGATACACTCATTTAGTACTTTGGTGTTATTAAATCCAAGGTTTTACACAGCCCTGAAGCAGCTGATGATCTACAAAGATGATTTTACAAACTGCTGCTTAATTTCACAGTAGACATTGTGAATACCCCACCCAACTCAATTTGATTGAAGGAGGGTTACTCATTTGTTTCTTTAAACGTATTTTATGGAAATTGATGTTTCAGTTTAACAGAAAATAACAAAACAATTGGGGTTATTCTTTCATAAACGTATATTTTTAAGTCACTTAAATGACGTACATTAATCAATTAACCCCTTGAAATATTTAAACACACTCTGAATTATTTAAAAACTCAACTTAAAAATCAAACCGAGAGGCATATTTATAACATTGCTTCGCTGGAACATTGCAAGAAAGTGCAGTGCATAGAGAGCTGAAATTTCTCGCTCTTCCTCTCGATCGATATCCGAGGCAAAGTTTCATCTCTAGGGCCCTTAATGGCAGGAATTCCTGGAGCCAGCAAATGAGTAATGTTAGACCTATGATTAGCTGATGAGGCCGTCAAAGACACGAGACCCCAAAGCTACATTCCTCTTTATTCTCTGAGCTGCAGTAAAACCCAGGGCTAAGGAAGAAGGAACTGTAGGGTATTTTTTTCCTTAAAAGCATTTTTATTTATTTATTTATTTTTTAGTGTGCGTCATCACGAGCCTACAACGTCCAGAGTGCATCTCTCAGAGTGCTTCTTGAACCCAGGACTTCAGCGCTAGACGGAACGGGCAAGCGCCCTGCAGAGAAACCCCTGCCGGGATGTCATTTTCTTTAACTTCTTCCTTTTTAATATTCTTCCTGGCTAAAAAGAGGGAAATGGA